CTGGCAGCTGTCAATAGTAGTAGTAGTGTGTGTGTGTGTATGTGTGTGTGTGTGTTGATGCGTTTGTTCTAGTTGTCCAGGTCTGTGTCGGTGGGTGGTTGTAGTAGTAGTTAGTGTAATGGTTGTATAGCAATACTCATCACATTCTCTCTTTCTCTACACTACAGAGATGTACTCCACTTCACTGGGCAGTCTACTATGAAAACACCAACGTTGTCAAGGTGATGCTGTCACATGACAGTGACGGTGTCACCTTGGATACCACACTGCGTAACAGGGTAAGTATTTGATTGTGTGTTGTTGTGAAGTGAACAGTTTCTACTCGTCCTTCTCACCTGTCCTGCCTCTCTCTCTCTGCCCCTCGCTCTCTCTCTCACACACAACTACCACAACTCTCCTCTCCTCTCCTCTTCAACAAGGCTCTTGATCTTGTCAGAAATGTGTACCAGTTTTACGATACCGTACTCGATGGCATCATGCGTACATTATAGCCACGTGGTCATATTCACTCTGTGGTTCGATTTTTGAAGAATTTCGAAATCAGTGTGTGAAGGAGTAGACTGTTTGATGGTGTTTGTTGGAACGAGTGAGGAGTGAAGGGTTGTTGTTATTGTAACGAGTACGCAGAAGACATGTTGTTGTTCCTGACGTGGAGCAGGCGCTGTGGACGCCTTCCTCTCGTCGTGGATATTTTCATTCGAGTAGAAATCTGTAAAAAAATTCAAATTTGCCGAGGCATGAACTGGAGTTTTTACTGTGGATGCATGGAGTACTGAGCAATGCTGCTGAGGAAGGAGAGACTTGTTCTGTACATGTAAGTCGTCTTGTGGAGAGATTGATTTCGTCTCGTTGTAGATTATGTCCTTGGCCTTCGTTGTGTTTTCGTTTTTGTAAAATTGGAACGAATTTTCTCAAAAATGATTTTCTGTTGTTCCTGTGATGTGTTGCTGAGTTACTCAGAAAGGGAGAACAGCGTTGGGCCTAGCCAGGGAATGCAATCGTAAGGGATGTGTGCAGTTGCTGGTGGATCACGAGAGTGCGAAGGTATGTACAGTAGACGTGACTGTGAGTGACTGAATTTAGATGTACTGTGTGTCTACAGTAAACATTACAACGTGTCGTACATTTGATTGGTTGAACTATGCAGTGACTAGGTGTCACGCGGGTCACGTGAGGTGCACCTACCACCACCATGTCCTACATTTGTACAGCTGTCCATGAGATCAAGAGTACATAAACACGAGAGAGTGTAACTCCGCTTGGTCTGGCCATGGCGGAATGTTTCGTTTTGTTGACTTTTCTGGAGATGATGAGTCATACCGTACGAGGCATGTACTACGAGTCTGTGGGCGCGTGAGCTTGTACAGTTTTCGTTAGGGGTTGTCGCAAAAGTTTTTTTGTCGTCTCTGAAACGAGAGCATCATTTGTTTGGGGTGGGGGGGGGGGGGAGGGGTGCGAGTCAAAATCACAACTCGATCGACACTGTACATTGTACTTGTACATGCATGCGATTATCGTCGTCCAGCATAGCAAGCTGCGTTCGTTTCAGAGTGGGGGGGGGGGGTTCCGAGTACGAAATAACGATATTGTCTCCATGGTCATAGCCAGCCTGAGATTGAACGGGGGGGGGGGGGGGGGGGGGCTGGGTGAACTATTAGGGACCATTAGCAAGCCGTGAAACGTCAACGGGGGTAACGAGTTCATCGTAACGCACGTGAAACACGGCGTGATTGAGGATTAGCTTCTCGCGTTCACAACCCGTTTACGCGAGTCGGCTGCTTTCCAGTTTCAAACAGTTTTCTGATATTTTACTGGCAATTATGTTTGCGAACTTTTCCTTGAGAACAATTCTCAGCCTGACTGACTTTTACCCGAATGAAAGTGAAAGAAACCCCATGACACCCACATCTCCGATGGATGGGTGCAGCAAAGGGTTGTGTTCACGAGGTCCATGCCAAAACATAAATGAACGAGCAAGCTGAAGTTTGTCTTGAACAAGCATAAAGTTTGGCACTGTGGTTACCCTCGATCCTGTTCTGTGTCATGTTAGTAACGGTTATGCCAAAATCAATGGTCCTACTGGTTGTTTGGTACGTTTCGCCATCGTATTTATTCCAACAAGAATGGGTGAGACATTTTTCGAAATTTGAAGAAAATCGCAAAGACCAAACAAGGCGCGATTTACGGTGCTATTCTCCGTATCATGGTTGAATTCGCACGTACTTGACTAGAACCCACTTGTTGCGGTCATGACGAGTAGACCCCTCCGAACTTGTCAAACACAAGTATGTTTTGCGTGCTCAGGACGGGACTCTAACCCAGCTCCCCCTTCGCGTTGCAGTTTCACGGCTTGCTAATGGTCCCTATCACATGGCATTGGCGGGTTTACGGGGGGGGGGGGGGGGGGGGGGGCACGCTCCCACCCACCCTCAAAATATTTCGACCTGGGTTTGAAAAAACACCAGGCTGCTACATGCACCATGTGCACAGGCGGTAGACTCTACGCGGTGGGAAGCAGCGTCCAAAACTGGTTGCACAGACCGTCGGTGTGTGAGCGGCATTGATTGCACTGTGAAAGAAATGATCGACTCTGTACGAGCTCTATGCTTTTGTACAGATTCCAGGACGCGCTCGATGCGTCTTGAGAAAGGCGTGCAGTGATGTGCTGAACGCAGCGCTGCCCAAGTGGGACAAAAACAAAGCTTGTGATCGTCAAGCGCCTCTTTTCGCAACGTTGTACAACGATGTTTTGAGGATGATCCCCTCCAGATTCGAATCGCGAATTGGTTGACTTGAAGACTTTTCTGCGAAGTCTCAGCGACATCCATGGACCAAAGGGGACAAGCTCTGGCCAACAGAGCCTTGATGAATTTTGCAAAGCGTTCTTGCGACGGGGCAATTCCTGTTCCAACAGGAAACAGTGGGAGTGATCAAGTGGTTGCCAGTCCAGTTCGGAGCGGGCTGACATTCCGCCGGACGCGGAGGTGCCAGTACAGGATGGTCATCATACATACTAGTCAGACTGTCGGAATCGTTGTTTTCTGTGTTCGAGCATTGGTGTGACCCTTCCTGCGCAATGTCTACTTGTTACTGAAGCCGTCGTGGTCTCAGACTTTGTTGGAGCTCTCTTCCGCACCAAGCAAATTCATCGCGCTCCGCACTCTTCCGCCCCAGAGCGCATATCGTTTTTCTGCAGTTCGTGCCGTCCCATATCGTTCGCGTGGCTATTAATCAAGACTGCAAGCTCGGGTATAAGAATCCTGGTATCTCTCCTGGATACGAAATGCTGAAGTTGACGATGGCAAGAACAAAGTGTTCTCAAATTCCTAAAATACGCTATTTGTGGCGCATGTTGCTACGAAGGTAGCAGGTCTGAAAACACCAACAAAATTAGCGAAGCTATTGCCAGGGAAAGAAGTTGCGGAACTACTTACCCTATCCCGCTGGATGGTCGTTACAGTGCACTTGAAAAATGCTAGCTTGCCTTCATCGCCTGCCACCTGGAGGCATGGATCGCTTGAAAACGAAGTCTCTTTACCTGAATTTGAACGCGAGTCTTGTTCAGCACATTGTTGAGTGCTGAAGGGCCTGCCCCAAACTCTGGTGAAGACGTCGACCTTAGCTGCAAGTGCAGCGAAGCGGGAGGCCACAAACTAAAGCTTGATCCGTCGACAATGCTCTGCCTCAATTTCTAGCCGATTTCTTTGCCCTTCGAGTAGACAAAATAAATTCGAAAAATCGTTCTGGGAAGCGGCAATTTTAAGTAAGATTAATGTTCACTTGAAACCCATGTTACGATTATGAAAATATGAGAGTTCATTCTTGTAAGTAGTATATTCTTTTACACGACCACGCTATAACCGATACGCACTGTAGTAACTGAGCATGAGATACTTTAATCTGTATAGTGTAGGTCTGGAAGAAATACCTGGCATGTAATCATTTTGTAATGTTGGATAGCTAGGTGCATGACATACATCATTACAGTCATGTGCACCATGTCATCTCCCCCGGCCGTGACCCTCCTCAGCCAAATCCTGGACACGCCACTGCATGGTTGTGGATATATGGGGGGGGGGGGGGATGAATGCAGCAATTGACCTAAACTATATCCTATTCTGTGCACCAAGCGCTAAATTTGGTGGTGGCCGGCTTTGTAGGGTACCACTGCATTTGATCAACCAGACGCCAAGTGCATTTGATAATTGGGACCATTTGCAAGCTGTGAAACGGCAAGACGAATGAGGAAACTGTGTTAGAATCCCATCCTGACCACGCGAAGCACACTGGTGTTTGATGAGTTCGGAGGGGTCTACTCGTCATGACCACAACGAGTGTTTTTGTTTTTTAATCCAGTGCGTGCGATTTCAACAAGGATACGGAGAATGCACAGGAAACTCCGCCTCTTTTTGTGACTTTTCTCAAATTTCCAAATGTTTCATGCACTCCTGTTGGAATAAAGTATGATGGTGAATATACAGTGTACGAAGGCAAGGCACTTTCTCACTAGACAAGTGACGTTTGCCAATACTTGGTCCGCAAGTTACAATTGGCGCTTATCTTCGCACTTGATTTTTCTGTGTTCTGCCTGTGTCATACCGCATGGAACCACCGATTCACTATCCGAACATAACCATAGACCATTGCATCCGACAACATGGCAGCACAAACCACCACAGAAGTTGTAATCGGTTCGTTTGAATTTTTTGACAGGAGCTGCCACCGACGAACACTTCCGTCACCGTAATAAAAGGCTGCAACATCCGCTCCAGTCCGTAAAACAGGTCAGGATGTTCACACTTCAAAGCGATGGCGAATATAGTTTCTGCCTGCTTCCAGCTGTCTGGTGGCAAGGATGGTTTTCCGCGGGGAGGTATAGAAAAGCTGAAAAGCGCATCGCTAGCTTGAATTTGAGTACTCGCACTGTACAGCGCTTAGTGAAGAGTTATCACCAGCAAATCACCGACGAAGAAACTACAAATCATATCGACATCTCCAGAATGCGAGACCAATCCGGCGGACACACTCTGAAGCTCACAGACGACCTGGAAAAGGAGCTGATCAAAGTAAACACCAACTCCTGAAGGAAACTCTCGTGCAAACTACTTGCAGGGATCTCGCAGAAAAGAGCTACGCCTGCTCCAGAGTCAGTGCGACACTGGTGCAAGACGTTAGGTGCAGTACACACAGGTGCTACATCAAGCAGAAGCTATCACTGCACTACATACACCAGCCCAGCGGCTTGCGTGGGTGCTGATCAGTAAGTACGACAAGCGCAAGAGGCGATTTGAAAAACTGACAGTGATGCGGTGTTGCCTTTTTGCCTCAAACAAAGGCATTATTGCGACGAACGGGGATAACACATACAGCCACCACACGGGTACTCTCACTTAGCTTCTGAGCGGCAAGTAGACAGGCACGACAGGTGACTGGCTTTGAGCGTGAAGTGGAATAAGCTATGAAACGTGCACCATATGTCTGGATTGAATGTTTTGAGCTCATCCTCCAGCGACGATAGTGGCGAGGAGGACGTGTAACTTGCTAGGATTTTCAGCTGAGTTGCTTTCTGACATGTAAAGTATCTGATAATGTAAATATACAAATTTTCGGCAGCTATTTAATTTCGGCTATATTCGGCACCGACCCAAAACGCCTAAATTAAAACGCCGATGAAATTTTTCACAGCATCTGTCGCACTATACCATGCCCTCTACCCCACGCCAAAAATAAATCGCCGCCAAAATGTCAAAAATCGTGAAGTGCCGAAATTTTGTATATTTACAGTTTTCTGATCGTGGCATGCTTCGAATATTTGTATTTTTCGTTTTGCGACAAGAGTGAAGACAAGTGGCAATTTTAACTTGGCGGATCAAGTAGGCCATTCACACGACGTCCAAACTCATTTTTATCGTACATTTCCAAGGATATTTGCTCGCATACGATAAACTTGGACACACGCTTGCAACTGATTTTTGAACTTGGCCGGGGTCCTTGTGTTCACGATTATACTTTGCACACGAGCAAAAGTGCCGGTGTTGAAAGTGCACGCTGCAAATGTAGTGTGTGGGATATTTTTCAAACGGGAATTTAAAAATTAAAAACCCAAGCCCACGGGTATACACCCAGGTCTGCGGGCATACCTCTGCATACGCGCACACACACGCACACACACACACACACACACACACACACACGCACACACACACACACACACACACACACACACACACACACACACACACACATACACACACACATACATGTGCGCAAACATAATTGCAGACACTACCACGCCCCGTCTGTGCGTACAACGACTTAATCACGCACACACTCACCAGCAATCAACACATAGGTTTGGGGATTGCCATGACTTCAATTTGATTAAAGATATTAAATATAATAGTATTTGATGTTAGACCAGAGGGCGTACAAATGGCCGACGTGGCCAGCAACCTGCCCGCTGCATGATTATAGCCCGACGGAGGGCGCATGATTATAGCCCGACCGAGGGCGCATGATTATAGCCCGACCGAGGGCGCACGATTATAGCCCGACCGAGGGCGCACGATTATAGCCCGACCGAGGGCGCACGATTATAGCCCGACCGAGGGCGCACGATTATAGCCCGACCGAGGGCGCACGATTATAGCCCGACCGAGGGCGCACGATTATAGCCCGACCGAGGGCGCACGATTATAGCCCGACCGAGGGCGCACGATTATAGCCCGACCGAGGGCGCACGATTATAGCCCGACCGAGGGCGCACGATTATAGCCCGACCGAGGGCGCACGATTATAGCCCGACCGAGGGCGCACGATTATAGCCCGACCGAGGGCGCACGATTATAGCCCGACCGAGGGCGCACGATTATAGCCCGACCGAGGGCGCACGATTATAGCCCGACCGAGGGCGCACGATTATAGCCCGACCGAGGGCGCACGATTATAGCCCGGCCGAGGGCGCACGGTTATAGCCCGGCCGAGGGCGCACGGTTATAGCCCGACCGAGGGCGCACGGTTATAGCCCGACCGAGGGCGCACGATTGTAGCCCGACCGAGGGCGCATGATTATAGCCCGACCAAGGGCGCATGGTTATCCCGACCGAGTGGCATGATTATAGGCCAACCGAGGGCGCATGATTATAGCCCGACCGAGGGCGCACGATTATAGCCAGATCGAGGGCACATGATTATAGCCTGACCGAGGGCGCAAGAATAAGCGTATAGCCCAATTGAGGTCGCGCGAACGGCCGCCAAGGCCAGCAACCTACCTACCGAAGGCTAAAGCATTCTGCGCAACCGAGGGCGCACAACGGAAGTCGAGGCCAATAGCCTGCCCACCGAGGGCTAAAGCGTAGTACCCACCGAGGGCCAAAGTGTAGTACCCACCGAGGGCTAAAGCGTAGTACCCACCGAGGGCCAAAGCGTAGTACCCACCGAGGGCCAAAGCGTAGTATCCACCGAGGGCCAAAGCGTAGTACCCACCGAGGGCCAAAGCGTAGTACCCACCGAGGGCCAAAGCATGCTGCCCACCATGGGCCTATTATATACTGCCCGCCGAGGGCTGAATCATACTGCCTATTCAGCAAACAAACAGCCACCGAGGGCTGAATCATACTGCCTATTGAGCAAACGAACCGCCACCGAGGGCTGAATCATACTGCCTATTCAGCAAACAAACAGCCACCGAGGGCTGAATCATACTGCCTATTGAGCAAACGAACAGCCACCGAGGCCGACAACCTGCCTGCCAAGGGAAAAGCAAACTGCCCGCTAGGGCCGAAATTATACTGCCCAGCGAGGGCAAACGAACGACCATCGAGGCCAAGAACTCACACAACTGCCTGGCATTAGGCGTCACACCACACGCATACAATATGATGCCCGCTTGCACCCAAAAAAAGTGATAAACCTAGAAGGCATGGCCCCATTATGGAAGGTGTATTTGTACCCTCAGCATTATACCTATGCATAATCATATGATGCCGCCGCTACCTCATGAATTGCTCTGACCAGGGTACACGGTACCGGCTAGCAAAGCAGTATAAACTGTGGCTTTCGCAGTATTCACGAGAACTCTCTCGCCTCGTACACATCCGCATATTCTCTTCCTACACAGGCATATAACCTCATACAAGCTCGCCAAGAACGCCCACACACACACACCGACATGCACGTCGCACACACACACACACACACACACACACACGCACACCACCACCACCACCACCACCACCACCACGCACACACCACCATCACGCACACACGCTCATAAGCACGCACCAGCGTTCTCTCGACCGCCTCGCATTCATGTGACAGAAAATATATGCCCGTAGACCACCACAAGCTGCTCGCGTGAGCCCACTTACTGGCCCGATCGTCGCCAACACTGCATACAGCTTGTCGACGTAGAAAAGCACATGCCGTACCAGCGAACAGGCCATATTGCCCCGCCCTGATGGCTGCTTTCGCCTTAGCCACTCTAGCAGTAGCCACAAACTCTCACCACCTGCACTTCTGCACCCCATCCATCACTTCACACGATAGCATACGCGCCTGCCACGTGCACATCCACATAGGTACAGCACACAGCACACGTCCATATCCTCACCACTGCCATCCCTGCGGACTACGCACTCAAACTGCTCTAAGATGCTGGCGTGGGCCCACATACCAATCACTAGCACTGATACTGGCCTGGGAAAGCGCAAACGTTGGCCATCAGTTCCAGGCTAGCTCATTCTATTGGCTACTAGCCTGCCCGGTGCTGAGCCATGCATAATGCCCCTCTTGGTCGCATCTGGTGCGTATGCACGTGCAAGCTGGGGATCCAAGCCATAGAGCACTTTCCTCCTGCCCGATTTATCTTGGTGGGACGCGTGATGGTTGTTGGCGTAAACTTGCACATCATTGTCAGCGAGCCTTTGAGCACATTACGTTTGTTGGCCAAGTTTCCCCAAAAAGAGAAGGGCCCAGGTAACACCGAACGAGGCGACGATAGTAGACTGATGGTCAATCCAGGACAGGGTGGGTTGCCCACGCTATCAGCCAGCATACTGGTAGTCCTGGCGAGGCAATGTTATGTGCATAGCGTCAAGATATACCACGTCTTATCACCACACCGAGGTGCCATCTCACTCTCGGCCAGTGAGCCATAGAATTGCCGCAGGCGGCCGCCGCGCTAATGAATTGTTAATGAGGTGCTCAATGCAAACAAAACTAGACTCCAGAACAAAGCGTCAACCAGCGAGTTCATAGGCCGGTGGTGACTGTGGTGTAAATGGAAGCACAAGCCATAATGCACTGATCGGGCCTCAAAAGGGGCATGCAGGCATTTTTGTTCAACATATGCCTGACAGAAAGATTAGCACGGCAGGCACAGATACGTCGGCATGAATGCGTGCGTGCACCCGGCAACAATGACTTGCCCCCGGCGGGGCAAGGGTAGGTAGTGAGTAATGACCAACCATATCAACAGAAAGCAATTTGCTGCCGCTATTCGATGTCACCCACAGGCGACGGTGGTGTCAGAACCTGCGGGGCTGGGTGCACCAATGCACCTTGTAGTGGGCAGTCAGAATTCGGAGGCATTGAAAACTGCTCTCCGTTCGTTACGTGGATTGTCGAATGTTCCCCACGGCACGCCCGCGCAGCAGCTGGGGCGTCTCGTCCCCTCAGCGGTAGCAACAGCTGCTCTGCCAGCAGTGATCCGATGAACAAGTACCAACCCGACTGATAAATGGTCTTCCGGATGACCAGCTACGCTATCAAGTCTGCTCTGGAGACGCGGGGTGAATTCGGAACTACCCCCGAGATTTCTGATACCAGTGGCCACGATTTCTAAAGAACTGCTTCGGCCAAATTGCCAAGCACAACGTCTGCGCACCTCACGAACCGTGACATTACAATGATTCCCATGCGGTATGGCCCGCGTAGCGGATGGGCCATCTCGTCTGCCCAGCAGTAACAACCGCTGCTCTTTCAACACTGATATGACGAACATGTACGGTCCTGAACGACAACTGGGGTGGGATGACGATGATGGGCGCGGCATAACTGCTGCACTAGTAACAGGGGGAAATGTGTTGCCACTCCCATGTCAAACGCAAAGTCGCATCCGCACGGCCCAGCTGATAAATGGATAGGGCTTCGCCTGTTGCTCTGTTGCCAGAGCTGGAGCTAAATACAAGCACTATGCTGAACGTGCTGTGTACAATGGACACTTGGAAATCACTGCGACGACAACCAGCTGCAGTGAATTATTCCAGTTTGCATCTTGTCTTGAGTATCTTGGCGACTTGTGGCTTTAGTAAGTGAGTTGAGTTTGATATCTACTACTGTGATACTGGACACTGGATACTGTAAGTCTACAAATTATCAGCACGTTTTAAATTTCAGCATCCGCAGGCCAAAATCCTTTTCGGCCCCATTAAAATTCAGCCTATACAGCTTCTGCCTGTATATCCTGTCATACTGTATAATGCATGTTACAATTTCAAACAAATCCATCCTGACAACTCTCAACTCGATAGGCACATCAGGGCCAATTCCATGTCCTTTCCAAACTCTCCTATCATGCCTTGGAAACGTCACAACAACTCGATCTAGCATTCTTTGTCAGCTTCTTGCTCAAACTCAACCGATTTTCACGATTCTTACTGCTCTGAAAAGCTGAGGTCCATGCACTTTTTTATGCCCATCACGCGTTCCCCGTGCTAAAGGGAAATCCCTGATATTTTCAAAATAATACAAGGTCTGAAACCAGAAAATTCGGGATATTTTCAAAATAAAACAAGGTCTGAAACCAGAAGAAAATTCGGGCTTACCCTGTGCCGTGAGTTCCTTGTTCATCTCGTCGCCTCTAGGTTCATCTTTGTCCTGTCATCTTTGTCCTGTCATCTTTGTTCTGTCATCTTTGTCCTGTCATTTTTGTCCTGTCATGTTTGTGAGGAAAAACCAACATCTATCCTGTATATCACAGTTCATTTTACCATGGTAGTAGAAGCCACACCGACATTTATTTTGGGGGGGATTACGAGTGCTTAAATTGCGGCTTATGTTCCGGAAAATACGATACGGAACTAAGGAAGAGAGAGAGAGGGGGGGGGGGGGGGGGGAGGGAGAGAGCATGTTAAACACATATGTGTGATTTGTGCCTCTGTTTTTTTCTGATTCTCTATGAAGGAGGCCAAGCAGCTGCAGGCAGGTAAGTGACAAATCAATTCTCAAACTTCTTTTCCGCCAAAAAGTTACGAATGACCAGCTGTACAATCATGTTCTATGTGTGGCATGCATGCTAGTTTTGTACGAGTACATGTTCACCCTGCGCTAACGGCAGTAGAGCTAGGGCCGCTGCTACAGATTACAGTACAGCGGTTACCGTACGTGTACTTGACGACGAATCCAGCCTGTGTGAGCGCGCGCCAAACAGTTAGTAGTAGTAACAATACAGTGCCGGCACTGTAGTACAGTTGCAAAGGACACGTGTAGTTGTACGAGTACAGTGCACACACTGTACTGTTGCGAAGTGGGAACCCATAATGCCTTCTTCTTTACTACTTTAGTTCGGTCCAACTCACCCCTCTCTTTCACTTTGAAGAACCGCCTGGACATCCAGTTCGTTTTTTGTGATGGCTTCTGGCACAGCTGGTCGTAGCAGCTCCATTTAGGAGCACTCCGAGAAAGTTGATGGAGGCGCAAACATTGAATGCAAACTCTGCAAGACGAAGCTCGAGTTCAATGGCTCGGGTATGAGCTCAATGCGGGAAAATCTTCCCCGACGGCATGTTACTTGCTCGACGGCTGTAGCTGCCACGGATGCGAAGGTGTCCCAGGCGAAAAGCGCAGACGCAATGCGGAAGTTTCTGGGCCGTCAAAAATTTCAACGAATACTAGAATATTCGTTCGTTGACAGATTTGGTATTTGATAGAGTATTCGTTCTTGAAAACTGGGTTAGTGTGCATCACTGGTTGGAATACTATTTAGCATCCAATCCCTCACATATTCACACTCAGTCAGGGCAACAACGACTGGCTTTGGAGACAATGTGTTACTTCGAGTAAATGGTCTAGTAATGCAAGAGCTCGAAGAGCTGGCAAGCAATGCTAGGCCGCTAGCAGCAACTTGCTCATGAGCAGCAACAAACGAAGCAAATATCGAGTTGGAATGAATAGAGCTGTATGTCCCCAAGTAGTACCATTAGCAAGAAGATATGATGGCAGGGTTCTAGCCAGGTCAAAATAGTAGGGGGGGGGGGGAGGGCATGGGAAACAGTTACCCCGTAACTCATTTTGCATTTTCCGAATTTGTCTTGCCATGCAAAATTCAATGTACGGGGCAAACCCCCGACTTCACAACAGACAAATGTGCCTTTATGAACCCTCCAGTAGTGACTATCCACTACACGTATCGTTAAATGGCATCAAAAAAGCCCGAGGGTAAAATAGCAGTGTTGCAGCGAATATTCGAGTAATTGAATATCTTCGTTTTTTGGCGCTGCACAGAATATTCGAATGTGCGAGTCAGAAGTCGAATGTTCGAAATGCTACACTTTGTGTCGAACTTTCCGTACAATGGCTTAATTCGCTCATCGCAGCACGCTCGCTGCGTTCTTGCATCGTAGAATGTGCAACAGTCACTGCAATTGAGCAGCAAACGACATCGTCAACATATTGTCGCTTACCGCTAATGCTGCCCAGTTTGACTTACGTGCTATTTGTAGCTTGCACCTTCGCAAGAAATACTTATGTTCTTCTTCGTAGTTTGTAGCAGTTCCTGGTTAGTTTCGAATCGTATCAGTCCGCTTTGCTTAGTTTCGAGTCGGTAGAAATCCGTGATGTCGGATCGTAAAGCTAGCTCCGTGTGGGAGAGTTTGAGAAACTTGAGACTTCTGTTTCCGACGCAAGTCCACAAAATACTTCCTCCGCCCAAGCAAAATTTTCGCTTATCTTTACACCTTTTACTGATACATTCCAGGTTCTCAGAACGGTTTTTAGCGACTCAGAACAAGTTGAGGAGTCATTGAACATCAAAAGAAACTATCCAAGTAGAAAAATGGAAGTCGTCCTTTGTCATCAGCCGACGCAGCACTTGTTGTCGGGTAGTACTTCGCACTTTCGAGAAGCACAAATATTTCGTAGAGACACTTTTCCACGCGTTTCACCTCCTCCATGAGTACGATCGGTCGTGTTTCTTACCAGATGAAGCTGGTTCGTTGTGAGCAGCTCTGCTACCAGTGTGCTAGTGGTTACTATAATTTTTGTCACTACTGCTCTCCACGACGCCTTTGAACCAGCCAAATATTCAGCACAAAACGTTTTCCATCCGATCGCAAGGGAAATTGCTTCACTCGTATGTGGGCGAGCCTCGCTGAGTGGCTTGCTCAGCTTCAAGCTCAAGTGCATTTTTACCGTACACACATTATGTGCCGGAAACACGCTGGCTTTCGCAACATGACACCTCTGTACTCCAGTGGTACTCAGCAGCACCCACCTCAGGCACGTAGACAGGGGGGTGCTTTGGGTGCCAAAGTACCCCCCTCAAAAATTTCGACCATGGCATGGGTCTGGCTTGGCATGCATTGTATGATCAAACAACCGCGACTGCCCTCAGCCCAGACTGGGTGCATGCTACGTAGATCTGCGAGTACTGCATTGTACTACACGTGCTTGCACTTTTCCGTTGCAGTCAGTGTGCAAGTATTAGTTACTCCATGAACAAAGTGGTCTCAAATTCCTAAAATGCGCTACTTGTGGCGCATGTTGCTGCGAAGGTAGCAGGTCTGAAAACACCGACAAAATCAGCAAAGCGCTTGCCAAGGAAAGAAGGTGCGGAACTGCTTACCCTACCCCGCTGGAAGGTCGTTAGAGTGTACTTGAAAAATGCTAGCTTGCCTTCATCCCCTACCACCTGGAGGCATGGATCGCTTGAAAACGAAGGTTCTTGACCTGAATTTGAACGAGCGTCTTCTTCAGCGTATTGTTGAGCGCTGAAGGGTCTGCCTCAAACTCTGATGAAGACGTCGACCTCAGCTGCAAGTGCAGCGAAGCGGGAGGCCACAAACTAAAGCTTGGTCCGTCGACAATGCTCTGCCTCAATTTCTAGCTGATCTCTTTGCCCCTCGAGTGGACAAAATAAATTCGAAAAATCGCTCTGGGAAGCAACAATTTTAATGACGCGGAGGAAGTAGATTGTTGGAATGGCACGCTGGAGACATTCATATTAGTGTTATTATTACATCAATAATTCAAGGTGTACACCGCACTACAGTCTATTTCAAAACTATAGACGCATACCTAGGCAAAAACCGTTATGCCAGCATCTTTACCACATACAATCTGCGATCACTTTGTGCATAAATGTTTCCAAATTGGGCGTCTGTTATCTAGAAACTATATGAGAGTAATTGTGGAGCGGACCTGATCGATTATCCGAAAACTATTCTCAAAAGGCTCCAGCCAAATTTGAAATATTTCAAAAACCCTACGCGTCTATAGTTTTGAAATGGACTGTAGCATGCATACAATATACATGTACAAGATTCCTCAAAAGAACGTTATTGGAAGAATGGGCACCCCCCTTGACCATGATCCTGGCTACGCCCCTGCACCTTGACCAGTGACTGACTTCGTGTTTTTTTACCAGTTCACTCGCCTTCAACGCGCTCTACTCTAGGTGTTTCTTTACTCTTTGTCGACTTCGCCGACTTGTTTGGAACTGGCACGCTTGAACCAGCAGATTTGTGTGATGGTGAAGTGCACACGATGTAAAAATAGCTGTCGGCCACCTGTCAGTGGGCTGAAGGAGATAAGCGAAAATTTTGCCTGGGCGGAGGAAGTAGTTCATCCTGCGCATGGAACCCGAGGATGTCGTCTTCTTCCGCTCCGAAGTATATTAGGCTCTTCCTTCGATACATCGTTGACGATCCATTTTAGGAGACTCAGTGCAACATGGAATCCAAACTGAAACGAATAGATGTTCATGTACTTGCAACAAAGAGTTACATCCAGAACAGTCCAGTCTACCGAGGAGAACTTTGTATATTTTTGTCGCGGAATTCAAATCGCGTTTTCTCGACATTTTCCACAAAAGCTGTGGTCATGTCTTAGCACTCGCTGGCTCAAATAAACAAGGAAACATAGTGTGCTGAAATGGGCTCGTCTGTATGGGTAGAATAGTAGAATATTCGTTCGTACTGTGCATATTTGTTAGAATATTCGTTCGTGATTTGCTATTCTTTGCAACACTGGTAAATAGTGATTATTGGGTGAACAGGGCACATTTTAGTGCTCTTTTATTGCTTGTTTTGGATGAATTGGTGCGAAAAGTGGTACAAGCATGGTGGTACTGGTGGTACCGTGTGTGACGCCCCTGGACTCTAAAACCCAGTGCCTCAACTGTAGCAACACCATAACAGGTGTCTCCTGTCTGCCAATATTCTGGTGATGGAGTGGTTATTGTGCGGGAAGCAATGACTTTCAGACACACCGTAAAATCGGGACTCAAGCGGGCTTTCTCATAAAACGAGTGCATGCAGTGAAGATGCACTCTCACTTGTTTTGCATTCCTGTTGCCTGTACTGTATGATTTCTTGCTAGCAATACAAAAGAAACAACAAACTGTAAATGTCCCCTGCAGTTACACAACATTTTTTGATGTGTGCTGTGCTTATCGTTGTGCCCAGGAGATACTGCTGTTCTGCCAAGTATCAGTGAACTCGAAGCAGCAGAGCAGGAGGCAGCCCGGTTGGGCGGTACGACCATCATCCATTTCCTGCACGTGGTAATACTTGGTGCGGCACGCGTTGGAAAGACCAGCTTGCTGAAGGCGTTGCTTGAGAAGATGCACAATGAGAATGAACTCAGCACACCCGGCATGCGCACGTCCTACGCAACTACAAACATCTCTGATGACTGTCGATTCATCGAATGCCCAGACATGCCAGATGCTCTGAGTCGACTCTACGTCATCACCATGATGTGCAAACCATCAACTTCGAATCATCCCCAAGACAAAGAGACAACACAAGATGACAGAGAGAGAGCCCCAGCAGGAGAGGATCTTGTGGCTGGGACCCATGCAGGACCTATGGAGGACAGCAGTAGCAGCAGCAGCAGTAGCAGCAGCAGCAGCAGTAGCAGCAGCAGCAGTAGCAGCAGCAGTAGCAGCAGCAGCAGAAGCAGCAGCAACGGGCCAGCAATGCGCGAGGAAATCCACGAGACCATCACAGGATTTCTCAACGCAGACCGGGTAAAGTACATCTCTGACCGGGCCAACACACCCAACTATACCGTCATAACATTCCGCGACCTTGGAGGGCAGCAAGTCTACCAATCCGTGCAGCCCCTCTTTATGGCCAAAAACACAGCCTTCATTGCCACATACAACTCTTCTCTGGACCTTCTAGAGACCCTTCCCAAGTTCGATGAATTTCAGGTCAGCCGGGAAGAATGTATCGAGCGGGCCACTCTACCGGCCAATGCGACTCGCCTAGACCAGCTGCTCGGCTGGCTCGACATGCTGCTGCTGAATGCGAAAGCTGACAGCAGCACAGACCAGAGTGCTGCAGATGATGTGTTTGTAGTGGGGTGTCATAGTGACAGGTGGAACAAAACCGATTTGCCTGATCCTTGTAAGCTACTTCAAGAGAAGATAAAAGGTACCCCGTACCAGAACCTTGTCTGGAACGACACTTCGCACTTCAAAATCGACAACACCAGATCCACTGGAAGTGCAGCACAAGCAGATGAGCTGCAGCGATTGAGAGAGGCCATCATCGACCGCTGCCAGAAGAGCCAACGTAACATCCCTGTTCCATGGCTCCGATTCTGCATATCCATACACACGCTCAAGCAGGAGGTCACTTGGCCTTGGATTTCCTTCAAGGAGGCAAAGTTCATAGCGAAGCAAGTCAAGGCTGTTCCACATGACTGCAGTGACCCGCAAATACAGCTGCTGCTGAAGTACTGCCACGAAGCAGGCCACCTGGCGTACTTCCCAACTTTCAAGCTGAAAGACACGGTCATCCTGGAGCCCCAGTTCATCCTGGACTGTGTCAATGCCTTTGTCTACATGAAGCCTGACCGAGACATCACAGTGCACGAAGCGTGGTGCTATCGTTCTGGGTTCATGACGGAGTCCCTGGCACGCAAAGCTCTCAACAAGATGTTCGAGGGTCAGTCTTACTGCGACCATGCTAAGGCATGGCAAGCAGTCAGAGCAAGCAGTGATGGGTTCAAGCACATTTTTGAAATCCTAGAATGGCTCTCAGTCCTGGTAATTGTGCAGGATGAGAGGTCTGCTGAGCACGAGTTTATTGTACCTGCAGTCGTCCAGGACATGGGGACGGTCCCGCAGACGCCTTGTTCCTGTGCCTATGTGTCCTTGAAGCACGCAAACCGAGATGAGTTGATGCACTTTCCCGTGTTCCTGTACTGGCAATGCGTGGTGGAGGTGCTGCTTAAGTCACACAAGCGCTCGTCTGCCACGCTGTCACGGTGCAGCGTTCGCCTTCGCTGGAACAGCGATTGGCCGTGGTTGCACCTGCACTATACACGCTACGGCTTACAAGTGTACCTCGAATGCAAGGGCCGACACGGCGGTAGCGGAAAGTCTACGCTGGATGAAGTCCGGGCAATCGTGCTCACAGTGGTACGGAAGTGGGGCCTCCAGGTCGAAGTGATCAGCACATTGCCATGCCCCTGCGGAGAAACATCGGGCAAGGAGTGTTTACAGCATGGCTTATCTACGTGCCGCGCGCCAAGCTGTGCACACGCCTTGGACGCTTCCACCCTAGTGGCTGAAGACTACCCACTGTGTACACGTTCAAAGCAGGATATACAGATGATCCGTGAGCAGGCCATGTTCTGGCTGGGCCTTGACCAGGTGAGAGACTTGACCTGATTGAATTCCTGCAGCTATGCAAAAGACGTTACGTTAGTAGCGCCTGCCGCTAGCTTTAGTTCATATGTTTTTGTGGGGGGGGGGGGGGCACGAACCATGAGACAAGTTCCCCCAGGCCTTGTTGTAATTCTGTTTATCTCTGTTCAGGACGACAGTTCTTCACACATAAAGTTGCACCATGTCTCTATTTTCTTAAAACTTGCCACGTATTCCCGTCATGTTAATGAGGAGATAACCATTTTGAGCCTACTCTGACTTCAGCGATTATGGCTTGTGTGTGTGCGTGTTTGCATGCATGTGTGCTTTTGCTCGTGTGGCTTTACATGTATGTGTGTGTGTGTGTGTGTGTGTGTGTGTGTGTGTGTGCGCGCGCATGCATGTATGTGTGTGTGTGTGTGTGTGTGTGTGTGTGTGTGTGTGTGTGTGTGTGTCCCATATGGTGCAGTGGTATGTGCAGCGATTTCCAATCGATAGATTGCGGGTTCGATTCCCGACGATTATGGTCACACACGTCTTTCTTCTCTTTCTCAGACTCTTCCTGACTTTTCTTTCATTCTCCTGGGTGGTTACCAACAGCCAGTGCATGCCGGAGTATGTGGTGTGATGTGTGTGCGGGAAAAAAAAAAATGAAAAATGAAAAAGACCAAAAAAGGGATTCACTGGCCAGAAAATGTCACTCCAAATAGCTGTATGGTGTAGACCAGGCTGAATAGTGACGGTCAATTCTTCAGCCTTGCAAGCTGTTGAATGGTGTAATCCCAGCACAAGTTGCTATGGCTTCTGCCGTAGCATTGCTATCATCGCCTCCGGCGATGGGCGTCAAAGGTCAAAGGTCAAAGGTGTGTGCGGGTGTGGGCGGCTGTGGGCGTGTGCATGTGCTTGTGTGTACTTGGTCTCTTGCAATACCTGCAGGATGCATGTGGAAAGCTGTTTGACCCGAGATCGGCCTCTCTTCCTTCAGGTTAGTTGGATGCACAATACAAACAGATCTGGTACTCTGGTACCGTGTTTGCATGCCTACGTGTGGGTGTTTGCATATGCTGCACCTGCATTTAAGGTTCGACTACATCCAGCTTTGTGTCTGTCTGTGTGTCTGTGTTTGTGGGGGGGGGGGGGGGGGGGGGTCGGCTACTTGGAGTTGTGTTGTTGTACCTGCCACCTTTGTTGAATTCAGGGTTTATAATTATACTTTCTATTTGGGGTATACATACCTGTTCACCATGCTTCTGGCTAGATTAACTCTTGTGTAATCAATGGTCAGGCACGTAGCACGCATTGGGGCACAGTGGGTGCGTGCACCCCCCCCCCCCCCCCCCTAATAAGTTTGACCTAGGTTCAGCATGCACATAATGACTATGAATGACATGCACCAGCCATCCTACACATATGCAGCCATGCACCTACTTCCCTCCCCCACCCCCTAAAAGGGGGGGGGGAGGCTGCTGTGCTCCTGATGGTTCTATTGAAGCTTATATCAGATTCAATCTGATTTGGCCACCCATACTAGTAGCAAGTATTACCTTCACTGGGAGCTGGGGTAACTGCAGTTGGATCCTGGGACGGATACCCTGATGCCGTAACCCATTTTTCTACACCTTTGTTCGATCAGAAAATCCCTCTTCTGGCAATCCTCATTTACCAGCATCAGAAGGAACACTCTGCCCAGTAGCATCACAGCCAGTAGCCACCTCAGCAGCGGCAGGCTCAGGAGCAGCATCACAGCCAGCAGCCACCTCAGCAGCGGCAGGCTCAGTGGTAGCGTCACTAATAGCATCACCGGCTGTGGCATTACTAGTAGCATCACTGTTAGCAGCAGCAGCAGCCTCAGTAGCATCAGTAGCATCTCCAATAGCAGCAGCACTGGTAGCAGCAGCAGCAGTCCTTGCTGCAGTAGCACTTTCAGCAGCAGCATCACAAGTAGCACCTTCATCAGCAGCACCTGCAGCAGCAGCAGCAGCAGCGACTACAGGTATGTACCTGACTGGGTGTTCATAGTGTATTTTAGATACACATTTGACCAATATAGCACAATAATTAATGGCAGACAGTCACTTTTCCAGCACCACCACTTTGAATAGGACTAATGACTAGCTAGATCTTTGTCGGGAAAAAGGTTTTTCTCATGAATGCCCTCAGGGCCTATTTCTTAGTGGAAATGGCTGTAAACACAGCCGATACGTCATAGAATTGCTATGGGGTCGCTGTCATATTTTGTCGCCCTGAAGCGAACATCGTCCGTGGAACCGGTGGGTCGAAAATCGTAACTTGGCCAACAAACTTTGTTCATTTTGGAGGAGTGAGGGGTCCGTCCGAGTATGAAATGAACCATGTTCGTTTCAGTGGCGACAATAAACTTCTGCAACAAACCGTGTGTGCGTACCCACGTGTGTGTGTGTGTGTGTGTGTACATGTATTCGCTGCATCTGCATGTGTGTGTGTGTGTGTGCGTGTGTGTGTGCGTGCGTGTGCATGTCTCTTGGCCACTCCAATGGCACGCCGTCTGTTGCCTTGCAGCAGAAGCCTGTGCCAGTGTGGACAGTAGAAGCGGTGGTCACGGTGCTCGTGGAAGCGGTCATCACAGCGCTGGTGGAAGCGATGGTCACGACGCTGAATTCATGTCACTTGGTGCCATTGGGTTAGTGAAGGCTATCCTCGCAGGTTTATAAAAAATAGGTCAAATACGTTGCTTTGGAGCTGACCAATCAGCCGCTTTCATTAACGAAGCGTTCAGGGTAATGGAAACACTGACAACACACTGTCTGCACATTTAGTGAGGGTGTCTTTTCATCACATAATGCTGCGTCGCATTTTAAGGCTTTACTGTCCACGGGGGGGGGGGGGGGGGCAGGCACTCTACAATCAACGGGGGGGGGGGGGGGGGGGTTGCGCGCTCTACCGTGTCCATTGGAGCGAGGGGCTCTCCTGTCCACTGAGGGAGGCTCTCATGTCCACTGAGGGAGGCTCTACTGTCCACCGAGGGAGGCTCTTCTGTTACGGCCCTACCTAGAACGTGGACCTGCTTCTATTTTCTTTTTTCGTGCTGTTTTGTTCTGTATACCACTCTGCGCTGCAGTGGAAAGACACTCAATCAGATTGCCGACTGGCATGCGTTTGTTAGCTCGATTGAACCGTTCATCGGTGGAGAGGAGGAAGGCGACGAGAGAGGTTGGTTGCTTTTGGATACCGTGATTCATGTGTATTTCAATAATGCCGGGTGGTGAATATATTTTCTCCAGCAAGGACACGGCAGAGTTTTAGCCGTGTGTATGTAGCGAATTATGAGTAAACGTAGTTTGAAGTAGTTCTTGGGTCAACCTTATTCTCTGGGAGTGTAGGAGCTGTTCGATTGCAGGCGATTTTCGGAGAAAATGAGCTTGAGGCTGGTGGCCTAAATTTCCTTTGTATTTGAACATTCACAGTGACATCCAAATAATGCTGTGATTCAACCAGATGAAATTATTTTCAGAGCCAGTGAGTTCCCCTGAGCTGCTTGAATTGTTTTGCAATACCCTCTTGTCACTGTATGCACGTGTATGTGTAGACTTTGATGAGGAGGTGATGTCCTTGTACATTGTTTTTTAACCAGTGTTCCTATTGAAGTCATGTCCCCTAAGAGTGGTACTGACTCCTGAGTATTTTATTGTTTTTATTGCCACGGCTTGCCTTGGCAACCCATCAAGTGCAGCATCAGCTGCAATGGGCATACGTAACCAAGTCGACTTCACTGCTTGATGCAGGTTGTTGTCAACTTGTTGTGTGCACTGGTGTTCTACCTCTGCCGATCATGACTGGGGAACGGCTAAGCTCACCATCGCAATCATTTAACCCTTTACCGGCAGCACCATACTTGAATGAGTCGTAAACGACGCATATGACATGCATGCTAAAACCATACCTGGTATGACAGGAAGCATCAGCCCACGGGGATTTCCCGTGGCCCTCACACAGCCTAGGTATGATCCTTTCCATAGCTGAAGAGAATCTACGCGTGTCCCATTTGATTTCATTGAGAACTGCGCGATCGAAAACTTACAGAAATACACGCGCACCGACAATGCCGTCTGCCTCCGTCAAAACGTCGTCAGGTGCATTTCCTCTTTCGTAGTGAGTTCCTTTCATCCTCAGATGACTTCTCCGACGAGGACTTAGCAGACCTTCACTCTAGGACCCACGACAGATAGATAAATACTTCGTTCCACTGAGCCACCGATGCAAGCGAATTTCAAATTGCGGAGTGGAGCTCACGCCAAGTAAATTCTCACGCAAATATCGGGTGATGCACCTGGAAGAATCGGATGGTGCTTATGATGGGGAAGCCATGGAGAGTGATCCCCGTGTCGACAGTCTCCCAGAGACGGAATTTTAGGCCATCGACTTTCTACCTACCTGAGTGACGGCAGCGCAGCGCGACTTAAGCACGCCCTTACGGAGCCATCGGACAGCGATTTTGGGGTGATGCTGCTCTCAATTGTGAGCGAGGCACGGCCACTGAAGTCTGTGATGGCTATGGCGTTCGTTTCCGCTCCGAGGTCGACTTGTTTTGGCAGTATCATATTAATGTCGGAATCTGACAATTTGCATTATGTACAATTTCCCTGTTTAGACGTACAGATGACAATTTAGCAGTGTATGTGTGTGGTATGTGAAAATAATTTTTTACATGGTCAAGAAGTAGTACCAGACTTCCAAGAAAACATAACTTGCACATACAACATGTGGCCTCGTTGTGAGTTATTGGCATCCTTCTCAATCTTATGGATTTCATATACAAAATACACTTGCCGGTAAAGGGTTAAAATGTTTACGTTAAATGAAGCTGTGTAGAAGTTGGTTGCTCCCACACTGCAGCGCTATTCCCGTCGACCTGACTTGACCCGTGACTGACTCACGGTTGACTGTTTCAGTGTGGGAGCAACTAACTTTCTTATATGATTATCACCAAGGTCGCTACCACGCTTTCGTGTTAAATGAAGCTCATTGTTCTTAAATGAAGCTGGTTGTTCTTCAGTGTAGCACATGCATCCACACAATCCACACCGTCCAAATGAACACTAGGAAATTTTAGAAACGAACGTTTTCGTTCCCTTCCCTTCATGGTCTCTCACATGGAGTAAAGCAAAAATAACTAAGACAGCAATTCTATAGGAAAAGAAGTGAGGGAGATAAACATCCCGCTACAAGTGTGAAAACTGAAAAGTCAGCAGCTAAAAAACAGTGTCATTGTTCTTTTCTGCCCTTTCTTCTGGTGATGTTGTAGCAAACTGCGGTAAGGCGGCTGTGCAGCTAGTGACTCCAGAATACACAAACTACTACCCCAACGTGCTGAAGTCGTTTCATGAAAGGAATAAAGGTAACATCCGAGGCCCAGGCAAAGGAGAGAACAACCTCTTCTGTATCCTGCTGTATCTGATGCAACAACGTCCGAGCACAACCGTCCAAGAGCTGTTTAACCTGCTGACTGATAATGCCAAGCATTCCCGGCGCCATCTTTTCAGGGCAATCAAGTGAGTTGCAGGCTGAGTGTGTGTGTGTACATGTGTGTGCATGTGTGTGCATGTGTGTGTGTGTGGGGGGGGGGGGTGTGTGTGTGCACGCGTGTTTGTGTGTGTGCACGCGTGTGTGTGTGTGTGTGGCGGGGGGGGGGGGGGGAGTGGCGGGGATAGTTTAGTGATTTGCAGTGGAAGAAGGTTGAGGCATCAGATCATGTTACCATGGTTTCAGCACACCTGTGTATAAATAACACCTATGTATAAAATATCACCTGTGTTTTAAATTAAGACCCCTTCGAATAAAGACCCCCTTCGAATAAAGACCCCCTTCGAATAAAGACCCCCTTCGAATAAAGACCCCCTTCGAATAAAGGCCACCTATGTATAATGACCACCTTCATGTATAAACTATAAAGATCACCTGATGAGTGCCTGAGATGGCATGAAACTTTAAGTTGTGACTGATCAAGCCATCTGTTGTTCTGACTAGTGTGTCACGGCTCTACCTTCCCGGTATCGAGCTCTCTTGGATTTCTGCTGGAATTCACAACAGTGTGTAAAGATTACCTATGTATAATGATCACCTTCATGTATAAACTATAAAGATCACCTGTGTGCTTGAGAACGTTGGTGCGTTTCGAGATATCAAAATTTGGCAGGCAAAAGAAACAAGCCATTCAAGCTTTGCACTCGATGTCTGTTGTGACCGGTCGACAGGGAGCACAAAAGCCAGCTGAGCGCCAGCGATAACAAGCCCAAAGTGGCTTGTTTGGGTGTGACCGCGGCGGCCTTTAGACCACTTGTGTATAAAGATCCATTAATGGTAAAAATGGTCACCTGTATGTAAAGGGTACGTGTGTATACGGGTATCAGTGGTCTCTGCACCTTCGGGTTGTGGTCGGTTGGTTTGGGTTTGGGGTGGTGGGGGGATTGTTGTTCACTGAACCACAGATCTTGCTATGTTCAAGCTAAGTTGCTAAATACATGCCAATCAAAACATCTGATAATTGGCCTAATACTGTAGAACGTATAGTTTTTAACGGGTAAAGAAATTAGCATTCTCGGAATCAGGACCAATTGACAATGAAATATGTTAGTGACCCGAGTTTCAGAGTTTTAAGAAAAAGAAGATGACTACTACTGTACTGTAGTACCTGCTAAATTTCAATTGACGCGGCAAAACTTTAGCCAAAACACTACTTTCGTTTAAATCACTAAAATATCACCTGCGCTTAAATTGGACCTCGGATGGAGAGCCAAGGATTAATTTATAAAAAATAAAGGACCCAGGAACTACACGTTACGCTATAATGTCCACTAACACCACCAGTTACTAAACAATCAGCTCATGCGATAACATTGCACGACACTGACCTACGGTACTGACGTTATAATTAGCCATTTTATCATTTTACAGTAACAAGTGAACTGTTGAGCTACAAGAAAAGTTAGCCTAGTTCTATTAGAAACGTGTGTGTGTTGCTGTGCTCCGTCTCTGTCTTTCGTCCGGGTCTTTGCTCATCCATTGTGCACTGTACCATGACAATGAGAAGTTCACTCTGCCGCTGTTTGACCTGTATCGTGTTTGTTTGCCAGGAATGCGGAGTACTTGAAACAATAAGCAGGAGATGAGGCCTTGTCCAGAGATGGCAGGGGGGGGGGGCAAGCGTCTGCTCTCCGACCCCCAGCCGCTCAGTGCCTCGGCCGGATCGGATTAGCAGCCTGGCCGCCCTCCGGGCAGCGTCGTGGAGCCTGATGTCTTTTGACCGGAGCGTTCGTCCTAGGCATCATGGGCGCTGTGTGTTTTCATTGCCAGTTGGCATGTGTTGCTGTGATCAGCTCGTGTCATTTTCCTTCATTATGAATTTACACATAGCAGTGATGTTTCTAATGTCTTGAAGTACACTAGAAACTCACATGCTATTTTACTTTGAATTGCAGTTAGTAAATTTTGAAAATAATAAACTATCAATTTTCAATCCATGTCAGACAATCAGGGAAGTTTTTGAAGCTCCTCTCATTCCCGCCATTAATGTAATTAGAATATTAAAATTTCAAGACACGCTTGCGTGAGCCTTTACTGAAACTTGACTAACGATATTGAGATCACCATGTCTCTGTGCGTTGAGCCAATCCACATTGATTTCATAGAAGCCTAACCTATATCTTTGCAGACTTGATTTTTGTATCCATATTCAAGACTGAAGATCTCACCAGAACTTAGTAGTAGAAAGCGGTGAATGCGTTGAAATAGGCTGGGAAATTCTCAGTTCTATGCTAGTAAATACAAATGACATTGCCTTACTCTTTTTGCTGTCATCGGCTCACTGCTGATGAGATATAACAAGGTGGAAACAGCTGGCTGTCTGAGATTTGAGTATGTTTTGTTTGTTTAAATTGTTGACCACCTCCCTTTGGTGTCCCAGCAGCTGAGACTGCTGTTATCACCACCATGTCTTCACCCATCCACCTCCCTTTGGTGTCCCAGCAGCTGAGACTGCTGTTATCACCACCATGTCTTCACCCATCCACCTCCCTTTGGTGTCCCAGCAGCTGAGACTGCTGTTATCACCACCATGTCTTCACCCATCCACCTCCCTTTGGTGTCCCAGCAGCTGAGACTGCTGTTATCACCACCATGTCTTCACCCATCCACCTCCCTTTGGTGTCCCAGCAGCTGAGGCTGCTGTTATCACCACCATGTCTTCACCCATCCACCTCCAATTCTAATTGCAACGCTTTACTATTTTAAAAACACTCAATCACTGTGTGACGTCATTGTTGATGTTCCCAGCTATCATTGCTGTACTCTTCTCTGGCCCCTGTGTCTGTTGCAGCCATGATCACTGCATGCTGCCCCTTACCACCATTTTCAGCCTAGCATCTGATACTGATACTAGGCTCGAGATGGATTTACATGTACATCACACGTACAATGGCAAGAGAATCTGATACAATGACGTAGACCAGGGTTACCAGCGTTACCAAGGGTACTAGGACTAAAGGGACCGGCACTTAATTTTTTGCTCACTACCCGCCAAATCTTTTCCTTTCACGTGTAAGAGACGTCCGCGTACCTCGCTACCTTTCACGTCAAGCAATCGGGTGGAGTCCAAACTAAATCGATGATGCCACACCAAAGGGTAACTGCGAATTAGTTTTGCCAATGTTCCTGTTCTTGGTAGGCATGGGTAGTAGTAGTATTTATTATTTGTTGGGACTCCCCTAGTCAAATAATAAATACTACTACTACATGGGCGGGTGATGCTAGTTATTTGCTGCGATAATGCTAAAGGCAATGCTCATAATATGAAGATATAATGCCACATAATGCTCACACTGCTCCAAAAATGCCAGTTTGAAAGTTGGAAAAGTCGATTTAAGAAGGCCGTCTTGAATCAAAGCCAAAGCGTAGAAGAAGAAAAAACTTAAACAGCAGTGAGCATGTTGTCTGAAACAATCCACTGCACTGCACTGAGAAGGTTGATTTGCAACGTCAAGTCTCCGGACGTCCGGCTTCAGATGCACGATTTTCGGAACTGGACCTAGCCAGCTTCATGCATGACACCATTGTCGACCGGCAATTATGCTTGTAATGCCAATTTTGCGTGCGAAATGGTGTTTTAATGCCAGCATTATGCAACCTAGAAAAAAGGGACTATAATGCCAGCCATAATGCTAGCATTACCCGCCCATGCCTAGTTCTTGGAGATGGCAATGTTGCGTGACTAAAAGTTGTTGATTCTTCCCGCAATGAATTATATACTCAGAACGCTATCGTGTTTCCATGGTATACTAAAACACAATAGCAAATGAGTTTGTGTCCATGGAATACTAAAACACAATAGCAAATGAATTTGTGCCCATGGAATACTAAAACACAATAGCAAATGAGTTTGTGTCCATGGTATACTAAAACACAGTAGCAAATGAGTTTGTGTCCATGGAATACTAAAACACAATAGCAAATGAGTTTGTGTCCATGGAATACTAAAACACAATAGCAAATGAGTTTGTGTCCATGGAATACTAAAACACAATAGCAAATGAGTTTGTGTCCATGGAATACTAAAACATAGTAGCAAATGAGTTTGTGTCCATGGAATACTAAAACACAACAGCAAATGAGTTTGTGTCCATGGTATACTAAAACACAGTAGCAAATGAGTTTGTGTCCATGGAATACTAAAACACAATAGCAAATGAATTTGTGCCCATGGAATACTAAAACACAATAGCAAATGAGTTTGTGTCCATGGTATACTAAAACACAATAGCAAATGAGTTTGTGTCCATGGAATACTAAAACATAATAGCAAATGAGTTTGTGTCCATGGTATACTAAAACACAATAGCAAATGAGTTTGTGTCCATGGTATACTAAAACACAATAGCAAATGAATTTGTGCCCATGGAATACTAAAACACAATAGCAAATGAGTTTGTGTCCATGGTATACTAAAACACAATAGCAAATGAGTTTGTGTCCATGGAATACTAAAACATAATAGCAAATGAGTTTGTGTCCATGGAATACTAAAACACAATAGCAAATGAGTTTGTGTCCATGGAATACTAAAACACAATAGCAAATGAGTTTGTGTCCATGGAATACTAAAACACAATAGCAAATAAGTTTGTGTCCATGGTATACTAAAACATAATAGCAAATGAGTTTGTGTCCATGGAATACTAAAACACAATAGCAAATGAGTTTGTGTCCATGGAATACTAAAACACAATAGCAAATGAGTTTGTGTCCATGGAATACTAAAACACAATAGCAAATGAGTTTGTGTCCATGGAATACTAAAACATAATAGCAAATGAGTTTGTGTCCATGGAATACTAAAACACAATAGCAAATGAGTTTGTGTCACTGGAATACTAAAACACAATAGCAAATGAGTTTGTGTCCATGGTATGCTAAAACATAATAGCAAATGAGTTTGTGTCCATGGAATACTAAAACACAATAGCAAATGAGTTTGTGTCCATGGAATACTAAAACACAATAGCAAATGAGTTTGTGTCCATGGTATACTAAAACACAATAGCAAATGAGTTTGTGTCCATGGAATACTACAATACACAATAACGGTTATGCGCGGTGCAGCTAACGAAATGGATGAACGGACGACGGCCTGAGCGTTCTCCTTCCTCAATGAACACTGGCAGCCACCATACACCATGCTTGATGTTTCAAGCACCATAGGCGCAGGCCACGTTTTTCGGCACCGACGATTTGTTCGTCCACCAACAGTCTAAACAAATGTCTCTCACTTCAACACTCCGTAGAGCTGCCGCTGTTGTGCCAAGGCCCATTGGCGCATGGTGTGTATACTCCAAATCTACATTTATGATGATGGGTAATTGCAGACGTTTGTGCTCTTGGACAGTGCAACGCTGCGTGAAGATAAGTTGTGGCTCCACAATAGCTCAAAACGCTAGTGTGCTTCCATGGAATACTAAAACACAATAGGCGCGGTGCAGCTACCGCCCACTTGGATGAATCGGACGGCAGTAGTGGCGAGTGTGTTCTCCTTCCTCGGTGAACACTGCTGGACACCCTGTTTGATGATCCACCAAACACCATCGGGGCAGGCCATGTTTTTCGGCACCAGCGATACGTTCGTCCACCAATAATTGAAATTAATTTTTCTCACTTGAACACTCTGTAGAGCTGTCGTGACAAGGCCGTGTATACTCCAAAATCTACATGTAGGATGAAGAGTAACTGCTGAAGTTTGCGCTCGTGGACCATGCAACGCTGTGCAAAGTAACTTGTGGCTCCACACTAGCTCAGAATGCTAAACTGTGCCCATAAAATACTAAAACACAATAGGCCCGGTGCAGCTAACATCCACCGTGGATGAAACGGTAAACAGCAGCAGCTAGAGCGTCCTCCTTTCTCGGTGAACACTGCTACAAGACAAAATGCTTGATGATTCACCAAACACCATCGTTGGGGGCCAACTTTTCCCGCACCAACGAGTTGTTCGTCCAGCAACTTTGAGTCTTTCTTCAACATTTCGTAGAGCAGCCGCGCAAGGCCTTTCCTTTATAATTCACTTTATTATTTTTTTACTAGAGCCACGTAAACCCGTCATGTGTCACTTGTGTGAGCCATGAATAAGGGGAGTGGTGGCGTGGTCTGGGATGCTCTGCCGACCTTGGGTCTCGGCTTCATCACAACCAGGCGCGCCAATAGCAGAGAGAAAGAGAGGGAGAGAGAGAGAGAAACATAGAGAGAGAGAGAGAGAGAGAGAGAGAGAGAGAGAGAGAGAGAGAGAGAGAGAGAGAGAGAGAGAGAGAGAGAGAGAGAGAGAGAGAGAGAGAGAGAGAGAGAGAGAGAGAGAGAGAGAGAGAGAGAGAGAGAGAGAGAGAGAGAGAGAGAGAGAGAGAGAGAGCCAGAGAGAGAGAGAGAGAGAGAGAGAGAGAGAGAGAGAGAGAGAGAGAGAGAGAGAGAGAGAGAGAGAGAGAGAGAGAGAGAGCGAGTGGGGAGGGTTGGGGGCAAGAGAGGGGGAGAGAACTAAATAAAGTATAATTATATAATGCGTAAGTGGTGCACATTCAGATCCAGAGAAAAGAGTAAGCAGGGCACGAGGCGTATGGCAATATGCAGCAGTGTGTGGGCAGATGTGCATACATCTTACAAAGTGCCAGTGGCCCAGTGCCATTGCCGGGCACGGAGGTGCCGGATGACAGACACTTTGAAACTTTGCAGCCGTTTCCGGTCAGGTGGCTGGCTGAGGACGGCGGGTGGCAGGGCATTCCATACAGGGACAGCACAGGCGGGGAAAGCTCTACGGCAACTTTCCCGGCTATTGACAGGTAGCCCTGTTTCAAGCTGGTAGTTATGCATGTCGAGACGGACGAGAGAGAGAGACGAGTGGGTCGAACATGGGCTGGTCGGGGGGCTTGAGTAGGGGTTTACGACGAATGCAAGGGACGCTGTAAAACTGTCAGGGATGACGTGTTTAAGACCGTTCCCCACTGCCACCCACCGGATGCGACGCGTGTCACAGTCGAGAAAGCCAAGGAGGAGCTACGGACAAGGGCCGCAACGACAATGGAGCCAACGAGTGCCGTTCTGAGAGCTGCAACGAATGATCTGACTGCTGATTGCCTATCCTCGTTACCTAAGGCATCTTCCCTTAAGAAATCTATCCAGCGCGAACGGCTTACTGCCGGTAATGTTCCTCCAAATCACAAGGGGATGTTGTCAGATACTGGGAGCTTCTCAAGCCACGGTTTCCAGGCACCTATGCCGAGGGAGAGCAGAAACTCCTTCGGTACTTTGAACGTTACTACATTGGAGAGGAAGTTCAAGACGGCCCACGAAGGATTCCGTCCTTCCCAATCACACAAACACTCTGGAACGTCCATGA